AGAGAGAGGGAGAGGGAGACTGAGAGGGAGAGATATCTTATTCTTTGGTTGTAAAAGGCATCACTACCAATCCATCAATACATGTATTAGGCTCAAAAATAACTCTTCATTGGACCCAGTAACAGTTAAATGGCTCTATCCCTTGTATTAATCATTTCCTATATTCAAGAGACTTCAATCATGCCACTGAATCCTCTTTTTCCACAATCAAAACCATACTCTTAACATGGTATTTCATCTCTAAAGTGTTTTGTGATAAACTGGGTGTCAATTGTTCTTATCCAATCTTAGCCTTATCTGAAAGAAGACCCCTATTTACTCATGATGAAACACTTGATACATGGAGCTACTTCTACCATTTACTCCTCCGTTAGTCTGAACTAAACAGGCTAGATGGTGTAAATGTAACTTCAGATCATAAGTTCCTGAAGGCCAGAAATGTAAACACTGATTTACCTCCTATTTGAACAATGCCCATAATAGCAAAAATTGAATAAGTTAATAAATTGGAGGTTAGTGCGTATAATGTTTTGAGTTTCCAAGTAACAATGAACTCCAAGGGATCAAAAGTGAGCTTCCAAAACATGTGGAGGTGTAAAAAGGTACACAGGAGTCCTCAGCAGCATTAATACTTTGGAAAGCCTAATAAAACCATATATTCTCCCACACACTGAAACATTAAATGTCTCACTAAACGAGTATGTTTAACACTGCTTTTTGAGGTATTCTTTTCTGATTGTTCCTTTTCCTTTCTGTTCTCTTTCATGACTAGGATGAGAAAAATAAATTAAATTTTAAGGTATTTAGTTTAATAAACAAAAATCTTTAAAAAGTATGACATCTGTGGGGGAAGAAAAGGCTCTATTAATATTGAGGAGTTTGGGAGCCCCTGGGGTAACCTATGTTTGCTTCCATTTTGATTTTTCAGCCATTGGATTTCACAGGGAAATCTAAACCATGAGTGGAATGTTTTCTTAGTCCAATCAAATTCAAAGAATAGTTTCTTTGAAAAGGTTAATCATGCACACAAGTCCCCAGATATATGCTTAATATGATACGTACAAGACAGGGTGAAGGTATTAGTAACTTAATGACAGCCACAAAATGACATTTGCTCCTTTGTATTGAAGCAAATTGTCTATTGCTGAAACATGGTTTTCAGAACAAGTAAGCTTTAATTACAGATTTTTTATTATTACTGAAAAGTGCAAAAAAATTCAAAATCAGGTCTTACAAGTATTTTACCATAGAATACAGAATTTATGGCAGAGAACTAATCTCTAAGTATCTGTTAGAGAGAAAATGGAATCAATGTACTTGTATTCAAGACTAGTGTCAAAGCAGCAGTTTTCCAGGGCATCCAAAGACTTCATTAGAAGAAGGTTCATCTGTTGGCCAGATATATCGCTGGGTAAAGACCAGAAGGGAAAAATGAATTATTTAAAGCCATTCAACTTACTATATAATATTTTGCTCTCAACATTTTACTGAAGATCCATTTTTTAAAAAAGAACTTAAAGGTAACAATAATATTGATGATTCCCATATACTTATTTTGTAGAGAAAGTGAGTCAGATAATTTATTCAATAATTGGGTTTCTGAACATTATAATCATTTGCAAACCAATCAACCCTACAGCTGCTACTTTTGCATTTTCTCAGCTCATTCAAACTTTTTTGTAATTGAAGTAGAATTGGCATATGATATTAGTTTCATGTGTACAAATGGTGAGTGATTCAACATTTATATCCCTTATAATGTGATCACCACAATAAGTCTAGAACCATCTATCACCATACAAAGTTATTACCATATTATTGGCTATATTCCCTGTGCTGTACATTACATCCCCCTAACTTATTTATTTTATAACTGGAAGTTTGTACCTCTGATTCCCCTTCACCTTTTTCATCTATTTCCCCACCCCCTTCCCTCTGGGTAACCATCAATCTGTTCTCTGTATCTATGAGTCTGTTTCTGTTTTATTTGTTTGTTTGTTTTCCTTTTTTAAAATTCCATATGTAAGTAAACTCATATGGTATTTGTCTTTCTCTGACTTATTTCACTTAGGAAGAACCCTTTAGGTTCATCCATGTTGTTGCAAACTCAGCCCATTCAAATTAAATCACAAAAAGTCAGAATTTCAAAAAAATATTTCTAAGAATGCCAAAGTGATTTTCTTCAGAATATTTAATAAGCCCATTAAGTTGATATTATCAATAATCATTCCAAATCTCTTTCTTGCAATGACTGTGACTTCTGATTTTATGTCTCAGTTGTGGAGGTTATAAGCTCATTCTTTTACTCATATTTTTTTTAAAGGGGGTGGGGGTTGGAAGAAACACCAGCCCTATATTCTTCTGCCTTTACACAGTAATTGACGTGAATTTTGTAATTGTCTTGGTGAGAACTATGACTTGTATAGTAAAATAAACTCAAAGGTAGTATTTTCAGGCAGAGTGGTGGGCTTCATCACCGACACTTGATTATCAAGGGGTTCCCACATGTCAGCTTGTGCTACTGCCTCAGCCCATGCTGAGTGGAATGCAGCCCCAGGAATGCTGAGCAGTCAGACAGCAGGTTCAGTAATGGCTGCTCAAACCGAGACTACAGTGGTTTCACCAAAGGCCAAGGACTACATTGAACAATGAAAACATGGAAACACACACACACACACACACACACACACACACATTTTACTGGCTTTAACTAAATAAGCCCTATTACAGTCGTTCTCGAGTAAAATATACTTAAATATGCTAAACAAAGGCTAGTTTGGGAGCTGTGACAGAAGCAAGCTTTGAAATAATATGCTTTTCTGAATACATTCTAGACTGGAGTTTAAATTCAGGTGACTTTTTCATAAGCTTTAGCAAAACAAAAAAAAAATTTTGATTGTCATAGTTCTCTTTTATAAGGTGATTTTTCATTCTCGAGACCAACATATTGTCCTAATCCTGTTCGCCTAAGGGGCCATTTTGGACCACTTATTTGATGTCATCGACTATTCAGAGTCAATAGCTCTCAAAATATTTACCTTAATTTTTAGAAAAATGGAAACTTTCTCCAAAAATGTCATTTTCTTGTGACATTGTCATTATCTAGCAAAATATCTGTCAGTACCAAAGGCATATATTTCACATCCCTCTGCTCCAAGAAATTAGGAAGGTGGGAACCATGAATAATTAGACTAGTGGCTGCAGTACTAATATGCCAGCCAACAGGAGGATGTCATCAAACAGGGTCATGAAGGCCAAGGTAAAATTTGCAGTTATGCTGAGGGTACTCAGTTATGGGAAGAGCTTCCTGGTGGCCTTCCCCAGGGTTTCCTGCAGCTGCAAAGTCAGATAGGATGGGGGGGGGGATGGCAATCTAAGAACCAGAAATAAATGCTTTAGGTAAGTCACCATACGTTTCTCCAGATAGTATGATTAATTAACCACAAACACTAGCTTGTCAAGCCCTACACCCAGCAGCAGCTCATCCAAAACTAATGAAAAAGCGGGCCAGAGCCAGGGTAGGATAAAATGAGTTGCCTGGAATGAAACTGCCATGGCTCATTTTTAGTTGTAAAACATGTTGCTTGAAAAGATACTGAAGAAAGAGCATGAACACAGATGGTGAAGAGACTGCCATTTGTAGCATAGTAGCAAAGGGAAAAAAATCACTTTCAAGTTTTAAGTCTTTAAAAAGACTGTGTGCTGTCACACACACAAGATATGTAACAGTCAATCCACATGCAAAGGAGAGCTTTTTGTTCAGGTCCAGAGCCAGGCCTATGTATTCTAAAACTGGGGAATAGAACAAAATGAGTATTCTGGAAATGTTTCACTTATGATCACAAAGACTAAGCCAGATCTTCCTAATCATCTGACAGATGTTACCAAGAGCTGAAAATGATTACCTGAAATATGGTATTTCCCTAGATCAATAGCAGTTCTCAGAAAGGTTTCAGATATTGGTATTTGCACAAAACTGTGTAAATTACAAATAGAAACTTAACCACTGGTTTTAAACTGAAATCTATATATAGCATCATGTCATCCAATTTATCCACATCAACACCGTTTCTTGCCTTTGGATAGACAGCTTATTTCTGCCAACCAGGGCAGTTTAACAATGTTTAACATCCCAACAGGATGTCTCTCCCTACTATCCTATTTCCAATGCCGGAAAATGGGGCTAAATTCCAAGTCAGTGACATCTAAATATTCGTGATACTCAAATAGTCATGCTGTACAACACGACAATAAATCTGGAGGTATGAAATTCTATGATTTGTTATAAAATAAAGATTAAATATAAGGAACAACAAAACTAGGTTCATGTATAGGAAAACTTGCCCATTTAGTGGAACTTCCCACCTGGGTCTATTAGCTCCATTCATGGATAAAGCTAGCAGGCCAAAAAATGAGCCATCAAACTAACTAAAGTGCACAGTATAATTTACACAGATTAAGACTCTTTAAGGATTATAAAACTGTAGCCAGGGCAGAGGATAAAAGCAATATTTAAAACCGGGTACATACAGTTCTCAGGTGATTCAATGATTCCCACACACTCAGGCACAAGGGACACCCCAATCCTTTCCTCCCATTTTACAGTGATATAAATAAAGGATCAGCAATTATTTTCTCCCTTATAAACCCAGAGAAGAAAAGCAGCTTTCCTTTATTTATGGCGCCATAAGATTAGACTTTTCCTCATATCTATTACACAGATGTATTCACAGCTTTCATCTAAGCATGAAATGATTTTCAAGTAATCTATCACTCTAATAAGAGCAATCCTTAAAATCCATTAATATCTATGTGATGGTATTTTAGAAAGACAAATTCCCTCATAAAAGAGAATAAATGATCAACTTGACCATCTCAGAAACTTTAGCAAGCACATACAGCTCAGATATAATGTTTATGTCCGTGTGTGTGTGTGTGTGTGTGTGTGTGTGTGTGTGTGTGTGTGTGTGTGTGTGTGTAAAATCCTTCACCTAAATCACAAAGAGGAAAAGCAAGGATATTCTAATAAACTGTACCTGACTTTCTCCTCACACAAGCGAGAGAGAAACATCCCCAAAGCAAGGCCCATGTGGATCTGCACGGCTTGAGACTCATCAGCACTTGGTTTCCCAGGTAACCTGGCAGTCAGCATGTTCAGGATTTCCTCAACCTTCTCTTTGCAAGAGATAATGAAAACTGGCACAAGGAGAGACAAAGCCGTGGCAGCCGCGGAACGGGCGATGGCACTAGCTGTGTTTTCACCAGAGTAGGATTTCTAGGACATGCCAAAGAAAGAACACAGGGGGTTGGCCTTTTGTTTAAAACATGAAGGAAACAAACCTTATCACAAAAGCACTATGCAACAATACAAGCTCCTCTTAGATTCACCCCTGCCCAACAAAGAAACAATTTTAAAAAATCTGTTTCTGTGCTTGTTTATAGGTTATGTACTGAAATGATTTGCTACTAAACAATCAGTTAAATAATAATATCCTTTTAAATTGAAAAAACAAATTACAAGTGTCTACTTTTTAAAGCGTGTGAATTCCCTCACTAGAAAGCCTGAAACAATTTCAGTGTGTTGAAAGCCCACATGTATATATAATGAAAAACCCAAAGTGAAGGTATCCAAGCTTGGAGGAACCACCAAGCCACATTATAAATGTCCAGAAAGCCAGGAGTTTTTGGAAGAGAAAGAAAAGGGGCGGGGAGAACAGTTTAAGTTTAGTATGAAGGGATAAGTGTAAATTTAGCACAGGGACCTGTTGGCAGATTTCCCAAAATTTTTGGTGGGAACGTTCCCCAGTAGATGGATTATTTCCTACAGGGGGTTAATTCCTTTTAATTAAAAAGGAAGTTGAAATCCTAAAAGCCTCTGGTTACAAAGCAATAATCAGCTATTGGAAATGAAATGGAGAGCTCTAATGTGCCCTTCTATATGTAACTATGGGAAAAGAAATGAGTAACAGCCCTAATAAAATGACAGAGCAACTGAATATGAACAGCTTTTACAAGAATCCCATGTTAGAGAACTCCACCAGATATTATATACATTTATAAATGTCTCAAGTGGGGATGAAAGTCCGTTTATCATTCCTCACTTCAAATTTTCAGACACACTAAAAGGCCATATTTTCACTTGTGCTCAAATCACATTAAAAAGTGTTTTTAATTCTATACTCATTTGCTCTCTAAGCTTTAGTACTTTAAGGATAAAAATGAAACATGTGCTAAGGTATCCTTTAAGTTAACATTGTGGACAGGTGATGCAGATTTGCATCTATACATTTAAATGCCCTGTCCTCAATGTGTTAATATATCACTATTGTAAGACCATACTAGTCAAAATGACCCAGCTGCTAGGGCACTGAAATAAAGAAAGTGAATTTTGAAGCAGGACTTTCAAGAAGTATAATAATGCAAAACTCACAAAGGTAAAAGGCAACCCTGAGCTGGCTAGTAAGATTATTTTTACTGGTTTGCAAAAACTAAGCAGTGTTATTAGAAATCTCATACAATATCCTGTCCTGCTAAATATCTGAACCAGATAGCTATTGCAAAGATCTCCATATAAGCTAGTTAGTTTTCCATCCATTATTAAAGAAATAAGAACACTTCTGACAGAAAACAAATCATCGTAAAGATAGTACTTCTGTGAGCAATTTAATTCTACGTTATCTAGTAAGTCACCTTTTTGTTTTCAAGTACAGTTAAAAATCTTGTTCCAGACCCTAAGACCCAGATAAATCCATACCAGGTCCACCCAAGGGCAGGACAGAAACACACACACAGAGAAGACCTAAGGCAGTGGAGTTTTAGGCTAAATTCATGATTTTAGCAACAGTGTTATATTTTTATTCAAATCAACTATAATCCTCTGCCACTCAGCTGATTGTCCCATGATCGCTATAATTCCCTAAACAATGGATAGTAATAAGGCAGATCCAAAATAATCTCAGGCAGACACAGAAATAAAGCATGCACTACAGCCAGTAAAGGGAAAATAAAACATAAACAACAACAACAAAAATGTGTTTTCACTTTGCTTCAGATCTTAGGATACAAGTATAAAGAAAGAAAATGACTAAGTAACAGGTGCTTGTTTTATGATCAACAATATTACTTTGTATTTATAGAGTATTTCACAGCTTTCAAAATATTTTTCCATAAATTATATAATTTGATCCTCACACTATTTTATAAAGTTGGCAAAGCATTAGTTTTTACCTTCATTTTACAGATTAGGAAATTAAGACAATGCATCAACAGTCACAAAACTAATAAGGGATGAAACTAGGGCTACAATCACTATAGATAACATTATTTAATTGCCTCATTTTATACAGAGGGAAACAAAGGTCCTGAGAGCTTAAGTCAACTGCCCATGCACGCGCACACCCTGAAATGAAAAAACCATGACTAGAAATTCGGGATATCCCATCTTCAGGCAATTTTCATTTTATTATAACTGTAGTTCTTGACTTGGACATGTTACAGTAATCTAGAAAGTTTCCAAAATGCTGATATCCAGGGCCTATCCTGAGCAATTAAATCAGAGGTGAGGCCTACACATCAGTATTTCATTTTTCAGTTATATATACTATATATATTTTAAGTTCCCCAGGTGATTCTAATGTACAGCTAAGGCTGAGAATCATTACACGATACTATGGACTTCATGTGAACAATGGATAGGAGAAGAGTCAACCCTTGGGTTTTCTAATCATTTTTTACTTCTCAGACTTACATAATAAAACGAGGAAAAAAGTTGTCCCCTGGGTTGGTAATGGCTATCCACAATGACCAGAAGAGTATCAAACACCATGGAAACCCATTCTTTCATTGAAAGGAAATTAGGTTGAACCTGCAGATGAAAAAAAAACATGAAATGATAAGGGGAAAAAATTAAAAATCTAAAATTATTTCCAGATTCAGGGTACAACCCCCTTTGTATTAAAGAATGAGGTGGTGAATAGGTATTTGACAAACACACATCCTCATCTGTGCCAACAGGAATAAGATGTGCCTTTTGCATAAGACTTAGCAGAGGTGAGAGGATGGAGGCTGCACAACAGAACTATCTGAGAGTTCTTCAGAACTCGCCTGTAACATGGAGGTTAAAGGGAGGGAGATGCAGACAAAGCAACTGCAAAGCTCTCCATTCTGTGTCTTGCCATTTTGAAAAGGAGGCAGTAAGGCAGCCTACAAAATTTTGATCACCATCTCTAAGCATTTCTGCTTTACTGTCACTATACATTTATCATTCAAGAAACATCACACCATTTGCCTAGCTAATTAGGCATGAAAACATAATTGATTTTCAATTTGGAAGAGAAGAGGAAAGAGAATGCAACAAACAAACAAAACAATAACAAACCCCAACTTATTGAAAAGAGAACTTGGTTTTAAAGATCATTCGTGACCATGGATGTCGAAGCATTCGTTAAGTCAGATGGTAATACTTAGGTGGGGCAAGCTATAAAAGTCAATGCAGTGCTAAGTGTCTCCTTGGAATCAATTCCTTGAATCACACAAGGCCACCTTCTTAAGATCTTTAGTTGTTGATCATATGCAGATTTGAATGAGGATTGAAAACTTCAGCTTCAGTCAAAAAGCCAGGCCCCATCTCTGGGTTGTGTGGCTTCTGGACGTTTTGTGTATTGTGTGCAGAACAAAAGGGTGGGGGAGTAAAGAATAACAACAGAGGCCGGCCGAGTGGCGCGTTGGTTAAGAACTGGCTTGGGACACCAGAGGGCCCCAGTTCAGATCCCACATATGAGGGCCAGTGACACTGCCCTCCACAGCTAAGATGCTGAACAACAGCTCAACCTGGAGCTGGGCTGC